CCAACTCTGGGGATTTTTTTATCCAAAGATGCAGATTACACTATTAAGGCATATTGTGACTCTGACTGGGCTGCATGCCCAGATTCCAGGAAGTCTGTGAGTGGGTACCTTGTGCTTTTAGGGAACAACCCTGTCAGCTGGAAATCAAAGAAGCATGACACTGTTTCATTGTCCTCTGCAGAAGCTGAGTATAGAGCTCTAAGGAAGGTAGTAGGAGAATTGGTATGGCTGAGTAGGCTATTTGAAGAGCTTGCAGCTCCCTTTCCTAAGCCCATTACAGTATTCTGTGACAGCCAATCTGCTATGCATATAGCAAGAAACCTAGTGTTCCATGAAAGAACCAAACACATAGAGGTGGATTGCCATTTCGTTAGAAGCAAGCTGCAAGAAGGGTTGATTTCATTGCAATACGTGGGAACTACAGAACAACTTGCAGATGTTTTAACTAAAGCATTAACAGGAGTTAAAAATTCAGCAGCTTTGTACAAGTTGGCAGTATTGGCTACACCACCAACTTGAGGGGGGGTGTTGAGATGGCTAATTATGTAAATGTGACTACACATACCTGTAAAGTGGCTAGTTAGATAATTTGTTATTAGATAGGCTATTTTGTTAGTTCCTTTTAGTTAGGATATTTTTGTATATACTGTTATTCAGTTGAAAGAAGAGGTCGGTTGGCCCAATCTAGATCCTTCTCTATTCTCTCTCCCCTCTCTCTTCTCCATGCGAGCTCTGCATCTCACTTACCTCCATTGCAGCTCACCTTGAGCTCAAATGAGGTGAACATCTGAATTTACAGAAGGAGACTGTAGATATTGTGAATGTTGTGAGTTATTGGGGGTTCATATGTTGGTTTGTTGCCTTTTTGTGCTTATAAAGGACTTAAAAAGAAAGAAAGAAACGAAATTTATACTTTGGCATTTTTTAGAGCAACAACTAAGAAAATGCCATCGTGTTGTGGTTTATCAATCTCAAACTTGCAATGGTGTCAAGCAAGACTTACTGCTGTATGTTGGGGATCACATTCAACTTTTTTCGTCTTTTCAGAATCATCTCTATAAATCTATACTAGAAAGACTATGGCGGGATTATTCAACGCAGTAGGTATAGGAGATCAATAACTACATTCTGAGAAATATTGTAGTAGCAATTAACAAATTCTTAAATCAGGAAGAACGAAATGGAAATATCCAATTGGAATTCAGGAATAAATTGCTTCACAACATGGAAAAGAGATACAAACGGCAAAAATAGGTTCAGAATGAGGTGACGAGCTCTTCTATAGATGTAACTGTCACTTTTCTAGGATTGCCTCCTAGGACTACTAGAAACTTAAATAGTGCCCTTTTGGGCACAAAATACCTTTCTACTATTAAAAAAAAAGTTACATAACTACATAAAATGCAGTATAATACTGCATATCACTTTAACGGAAAGTTAGCCGTTAAAGTTAAACGCAGTACTATACTGCGTATTATTTAAAAAATAATTTTTTTTAGGAAAACTCAGTACAATACCACGATTAATCAATTCGCAGTATTATACTGCGTTTCGCTATTAAATTTGGGCCCACCATAATGACAGTTCTGCAGGATTGCAGAGAATATTTGTTTTTTAATGTAAAACGTATTATAATACTACGTTTCACACCAATTTTTAGGCCCATCAATAAGTGCTCTGCAGATAACTGACATAACAATAATTCAAATAGATAAAACGTGGTATTGTACTGCGTTTATATAAAAATTTTGTACCCCAAGCTCGGACTTGCCTTATTTAAAGGCGTTTGAATTTTATGAAAATCCATTCAAAACTTTCCTTCAAACTTCCGTTCATACTTCTCTCTTCTTCTTGTCAATCATTTTTGTATAATGTCTGAAGAGCTAAAAATAAAGGTTTCATTATATTGGGGGGTGAAGTTGTGCTGGAGAATAACTCTCTGAGGTATAGCTCACCTCCACAGTGTCATGTTAAATTGCCACTTACAATGGAGTACGATAAATTGGTATCGTTGTTACGTAAAAAATGAGTGTGAGGAAACGTTCGGTGAACCTTAAATTAACCGGTAGATTTTCGTATTCAGTGACTCCGTAGGGGTTTGCTTATTATTCTGAGTTTAACATCGAAGATGATGAAACTTTTAGAGATTTTTTGCGGATTCCGGATGAATACATGGAATTTATTGTAATAAAATTATTGGAAATGTACGTCAAGGTTGAAGACGTTTCCAATAACGAGGGCGTGCATAGTAAGGATAACCCCCAGTCATCGGGTGGTTATTCTGGAGCAGTTTTGGCGGGACAGATTGCTGATGAAAGAGCTTGCCTTGATTTAAATTTGTCACCACCGGCGAATGAGCAGCCACAAAATAATTTTTCGACTTTATATAATCCACAAGACGACTGGTAAACTTCAATTTTTCTACGCTTTAGCGATGTTTATTTTATGTTTTAATTGGTTTGTATTAACACAAATATTTTTCATAGGGGGTACCGTCCGGATATGAATTTTACAAGTTATGACCCCGCCCCTAGTTGGAATATGCGTAGTTCTGGCGTATTGGACCACGGTGGTCCATCCGGGAGTCATCACCAACAAGAAAACATCCATCATGAAACGTCAAGACAGTACGACTTGTAAGTAAAGTGATATAGCTATATGTAAGGTATTTATCTAGTTGGGTAGCTTATCAAGTTTTAACTATTTTTTGTCCCAAAGCTAATAAATCAATCCGGGTATAAATAAGATACAAATTTAAACACAAACATAACACAAATTAACATGAAAACACATTCAACAAAATAAATATGCATATACTCTACGAGTTTCGACATAAACAAAATTGAAATACCTCAATTTAAGTTTTTTGAAAAAGATGCAAATCGAATTTTTGAACCCGAAAGAAGGAATCCAAGGCTTGTGCTGTGTGCGGGACCTACACTCTTCGTTTTTTGGGTGACGGGTGGGGCCCAAATTTTTTTTTTTTAATTTCGCGGGGGGAGGGGACCAGCAGTGAGTGGGGATTTTTTTAAAAATGGAGGAGTGAGTCGTTATCTTGGGGAAGAAGAAGGGGCCCTATATTTTATTATAGCGAAACGCAGTATAATTCTGCGTTTAACTATAACGGCTAATTTTCCGTTAAAGTGATTCGCAGTATTATACTGCGTTTTATGTACTTATATAACTTTTTTTTAATAGTAAAAAGGTATTTTGTGCCCAAAAGGGCACTATTTAAGTTTCGGACTCCTCTTTGTAGGGTATTTCATCTCTGAATAGTTTTCTGGGAAACTTACACAAATGTCCCTAATAAATCTCAAGTTACCAACATCTAGCCATTAGTCATAGACTTACCAAAACTAGCCAACAAAAATTGAAAAACCAAATAATAGGGTTCTTTCTCTCAAAGAATCACATGCAAAAATCACCTTCCATATTTTTAAGCGTGATTAGCAACATTAGATACAAGACGGAAAGGAAATTTCATGGACGGGGTAGCAAATAAGGTGATGAAATACAAAAATCTATATAATATTCCAAAAATCTAAACAAAATAGGAACTTTTTCAATGGGTATAGTTGAAATTCATTCAAATTATATAGATAAGTCAATATACAAAATTTGAGGAAGATTGGAGGTGATTTGGACTGGTTTTGTATCAAAATTCGTAATAAAAAAAGTCTTCTGCGACACATGTATCAAACATGTATCACGCATGTATCACACACACAGCTATACATGGATATACATGTGATACACAATTGATACAAATATGATACATATATGATACACAAATGATACACAATGTGATACACATATTTTTTTTTCATGTTCAGCTTTTACTTCGAATTTTCAATTCAAACCACCTCAAAACTTCACCAAATCATCCCAAAACTGAGATTCAAGCTCCTTAAGTTGTGCCCAATCTATTCTAATAACACCCATTCAAAACAAAGCAAAAATTTGATATTTTTTTGCTACAAATAGCTAATTGGCTAATATTAGTAATATTTTATCAATTGGCCAATTTTTGTAATGAGCAACTTATAAATGGACATAGCTGGTAATTTCCCTAGTGTTCTCTCAGGTGAGGCCCTTAACGAAGTTGAAGAAGTTATTTCCAAGTTATAAGCACATGTACTTCATTTTTTATACTAGTAATCTCGCAACAAATACTCTTAAAATTTTGTACATGGTTGAGAATTAAACTATGATTCAAATACAAGAGAGCTTGCTTTAGTGATAAGTTCCTTCTACCTTCACTATTAGATTGGTGTTCGTGTTAGCTATCATAATTCATAAAAGATAAAAAAAACATTGTTAGTCCTTTGAGAAGGTGAGATAGAATAACAGGTTTTGAGGGGTAAAAATATGAATTTTCTGTAGAAAAGTAAAAGGTAAAAATATGAATTTTCTAATTCCATGAGGTCCAAAAGATTGTTAAAGTTTTGACATGGTGATTCAAGTAGGGGTTTTGTTTCTAGTTCAAGTCTCTTCAAAGTATAGATTTTGTCTAACTTGTAATACCGGTGTTTTCTCCATGTGGAAGCTGATCAGTGTGCAAATAGCGTAAATATTGTTCCACTTCAAAGACCAAGAAGAAAGTTTTTAAATTTATTAGGCGTTTGGACATAAGATGTGTAAAATTCGAAAAAATGGCGAAAATATTTTTCAAGTGAAAACGATATTTGAAATTTAGAGTTGTGTTCGGACATAAATTTCAACTTGGGTTGTTTTTGAAGTTTTATGAGTGAATTTTGAAAAATAACTTTTTGTAATTTTTCAAATTTTCGAAAATTTTTAAAATGCATCTTCAAGTGAAAATTAAAATTTTTGAACAAACGATAATTTCAAAAAAAGTAAAAAAAATAAAAAAGTATAAAAAAATCTTCCATCAAATTTTATGTGGTGGATGGAAGGAAAAGAAACACGTTCACGTGCTATAGAAAATCAATGGAGTATATTCATTCTGACATGGCACGAATAAAGTAGTGTAACGTAGAGACACTTGGCACCCTAAAATGTCAAAACTCAACATGTTGACGAAATCAGAAAACCTCAAATTAGTGTGAAAGAAAACGTCGAGTTAATCCTAGAATATCTTCATCAACTAAAAATGGACTTGGACCCAGATTACAATCCCAGTTTCAAGGCCAAAATCAACACCAAATGGGTAGCCACAGTGGCTAGTATTTGGATCCAGTGTACCAGCGGCTCACTCTACACCTTCGCCATCTACTCTTCCGCTCTCAAATCTAGCCAAGGATACGATCAATCAGCCCTAGATGTTGTCTCTGTTTTCAAAGATGTTGGCGCCAATGTCGGCATTCTTTCCGGCCTCCTATACTCCTCTGTCACCGTCCGCCGCCGCCGTTTTGGTGGCCCATGGGTGGTGCTGCTTGCCGGAGCTGTTCAGTGCTTTGCTGGTTACTTTCTTATGTGGTTGACCGTCGTTGGTATTCTGCCTAAACCCCCTTTATTGGTTATGTGCCTCTACATGCTTTTAGCTGCTCATGCTATGACTTTCTTCAATACGGCCAATGTTGTCACTGCTGTCCACAATTTCCCTACTTACAGAGGCACCATTGTTGGCATCATGAAGGTTCGTCTCTCAATCCGTCTAACTTGAGGGTTAGGGAAAGAGTGAACTTTTTATTTAAGTTGCAAGCTTTGTCATGGATTTCGATTTTATGTTTATTTAAGTTGCAGCCTTTGTCATGGACTTCAATTTCCTATACTCTTATCAATTGGACAGTGCAATTAATATAGAGTTGTAGACTAATCGTGCAATGCAGCGCGCCTTAGAGTAAGATAGGATATGCATTACAACTTCAGGCCCGTATCAGAACGATGATGAAATGAGATTAGATGGGATTGTCGTGCCTTAATGCAGACAATGTTTTGATTTCGACATCCAATCTTCCAATGAAATGGTATGATGGCCACATAAAGTTGAAATTGAATGACTTAAACTGAGGAGTGCTATGGGAGTGTTTCACAAAACGAAGTGAAAGGTATATTTTATAGAACATTTGTAAAATCAGAAATTTTAACATATTTACAAGATAATATTTGTAGAAAAACGGGCGTTATGATAGATGTTCAGTCATAAAAAGCTGGATAAAACTTGAAATGGTCATTTTTTTTTGAGAAGGTAACATATTTATATATTAATAAAAAGACTTCACTAAAATAGTGAAATCACCCATATTTACAAAGAAAGTGCCCAAAAAGAAGATATAAACACTAATAATCCTTGGTCATCTCACAAGGAATCTAGGACATCAAATATGGATTCATGATCCTCCAAAAACTTTCCTTTACACCAAAAATAGAAAAGAGCTAAACATTTCATCTTTATCTTCTGGATGTTACTGGACTTGTCTTCAAAGCATCTTTGGTTTCTCTCTTCCCAAATTGTCCACCATATGCATGCTGGAACAATTCTCCATCTCTCTTTATAACTAGAAATGTTGCCCTTTTTATTCCAGCAGGTTAGAACATCATGAATTCTTCCCGGCATTGCCCATGAGATTCCCTTAAGCTGATGAAGATTCTCCATATTTGTACCGTGAATTTGCAATGCAAAAAAAAAAGATGGCTAATTGTCTTTGCCTTCTCTCCACATAAGTAACATCTAGAACACAGGTGGAATCCTCTTTTAATTAAGTTGTCTTGTGTTAGTACTGCTTCTTTTGCCAGTAACCATGTAAAGCAAGCTACCTTGTATGGAATTTTTACTTTCCATATCATCTTCCATGCCCAACAACCAACCTGGTTGTTGGACAAGTTGAATTCCTTGTAAGCACGCCTAACAGAAAACTTCCCCTGCCTATTCCCTTGCCATATGATAAGATCTTGATTAGAGTTGATACCACTAAATAGCTCCAAAGTATTATAAAAGTCAGTTACTCTATCAATTTCCCAATCATTTAGCAATCTTCTGAATGTAAGATTCCAGCCTTGATTAGTCCATGCCTCATTTAATGTTGCTTGTCCTTGTTGATTCAAGGAATATATGTCAGGATAGAGTTCCTTCAATGGTCCTTGGCCTAGCCGATTGTCATCCCACAGGGAAATCTTCCTACCATTTCCTACCTTGAACTTGGATTTGATAATCAGTATTGGCTAAGATTCCTGATTGACTTCCACAAACTGACACCATATGGACTTCTCACTGATTTGGTTGTCCATTTTCCTTCCGTTCCGTACTTCTCCGTAACAACCTCTCTCCACAGGGATTGTTCATCTGCAGTAAATTTCTATAGCCACTTCATCATCAAACTCTGATTCTGAGCTCTTAGGTTTTTGATTCCCAGTCCCCCTGCCTTCTTGCTAGTAGTCAGAGTACTCCATTTAACCAGGTGGAGCTTCTTCTTCTCACTGTTGCCTTCCCATAGGAAATTTCTTCTTAAAGCATCAATTCTCTTCACTACATTTGACTGGAATTGGAAATAGAGACATTATATAAGTAGGCATGGCATCTAGTACAGAGTTAATCAGAGTTAGCCTACCCCCCATAGATAGATATTGATTCTTCCAATTTGCTAGCTTCTTTTCACACTTCTCCAGCACACCATTCCAAATTCCTTTTGATTTGCTCTTGGCTCCCAATGGCATCCCCAGATATACAGTAGGTAGTTCACCTACATTCCCACCAAGAATATCAGCAAGACTTTGTAGCTCCTCATGCCCGGCAAAAAGTGCAAGTAGCACATATTAGTGATAAAATGTGGTCACTTGAGATGGTTTAGTAATATCTTGGGTAGACCTTCATATTTATTGACCAAAATGAGATTGATGAAAGGAATGAGCTAGACCTAAAATAAAATTGAAGAAGTTATTTTAAAAAAAAAAAGCTACAATATCCCAAAATCAATGTGGATCTACCTAAGCACAAAACCCCAAGGAAGCAAATGATGTATATAGTTGATACCAACCAATTGCATTCAGGGCTTAGTTGCTGTTGTTGTTATTACAGTTGCATAAAGTTCATTCTTAAGAGTTTTAAATAATTTCATTCTATTTAGAGACTTTTATGTCTGTTTAGGAATAAGTGTGATATAGAAAACCTAGTTTTGGAGAACTCTTAATTTGCCTTAAAATAAAAATTTAGTAAAGAATAAGCAATCAGTAATATGAAATGTGCCTTAATAGAGCAAACTTCAACTAGGTTTTGATTGAGGCATAGTCGACTTAATGATATTCTGGCTTGTCATTTCATTTGGTCTCCGAATAATTAACTAAAGATGGCAAGTCGTTCAAGAAGTTAATTGTATCTTCTCTCTTCATAATACAGAAGGAATTGCCATTCCTTTGATTTCAGCACCAAGTCTCAGAGTAAAAAAGAAAGATCAGAGAGATCAGAGAGTAATGAGTTGGAATCTCAGAAGGTTTTTGATACTAATCTAGTTTATGGTATATTGCTTCCAATCTATCTTCCCTTTTCCGCTACTTTGATTTTGATTTGTTTTCCATCTGTGCAGGGTTTCCTCGGATTGAGTGGAGCAATTTTAATTCAAGTATATCAGACAATCTTTAGAAACAGGCCCACTGCATATCTTCTGTTATTGGCGTTGTTGCCTCCTATAACTACTGTGTTACTTATGTCGTTCGTGACAATCGCGCAAACAAATGAAGATGATGAGAAGAAGCATCTGAATGGTTTCTCATTGATTGCTTTGGTCCTGGCTTCTTATCTCACGGCTGTAATAATTGTGGGAAATATCTTCTCTTTACAAATGTCTGTTCGCATCACCACTTTCGCTGTACTCATTTTCTTGCTACTTTCCCCGATCTCTGTTGCAATCAGTGCCCACAAGGAAAAGTCTTATAGAATAGTTAAATACTTACTCGAGCAAAACTCACCGGCATATGAGCAAAATAGATCTCAGACACATGTTGTGGACGTGGGGCAAAGTCATGATGACTATGACGAGTTGCCTGCTGGTGCTGATCAAGAGAGAGAGAGAAATGAGAAGACTCCAGAGTGGGGGGAAGATATGAACCTTCTTCAGGCAATGTGCACCACTTGTTTCTGGTTTTTGTTTGTTACCACTGCATGTGGAATGGGATCAGGGCTGGCCACAGTTAATAACATTAGCCAAATAGGAGGGTCTCTTGGGTACACAGTTTTAGAGATAAACACTTTAGTTTCTCTCTGGAGTATCTGGAATTTTCTTGGTCGCTTTGGAGCTGGTTATGTGTCAGATTATTTCTTACGCTCACTTGGTTGGTCAAGGCCATTGTTTATTGCCATTACTCTGGCTGGTATGACTGTTGGCCATGCTGTAATTGCGTCTGGTCTGCCCGGTGCTTTGTATGCCGGCTCTGTTATAGTTGGTATTTGTTATGGATCACAATGGTCACTAATGCCTACAATAGCTTCTGAGATATTTGGTGCAGGGCATCTGGGAACAATATTTAACACCATAACTGTAGCAAGCCCTGTGGGATCTTACCTACTGTCTGTGTGGGTAGTTGGATACATCTACGATAAGGAAGCATCGGGTGAAGGGAACATGTGTACTGGAACACACTGCTTTATGTTATCATTCTTTATCATGGCAGCTTCCACTTTCTTTGGGGCTCTTGTGGCCCTGGCTTTGTTCTTTCGGACAAGAAACTTCTACAATAATGTTATTCACAGAAGAGTTGCAGCTTGTTAGTTCCCGTTGATATGTAAAATTGAGGAGGATATTAGCTGAATGCCCCTAGCAACAGCTCCTTGTAACATAGTGTACACAGGTTCTATACAATTAGGTTGATAGGTGAACTGATTACCAACTTTGTAACTTATGATATGTTTATGGTCTTGTATCACTATGCATGACATTGTCGGATATGAAAGTACTAATTGGTGGTCTTGATAGTTGATGTGGCAAGTAATAGCAGGCAAACTAATCAGGATGGCACGCAAAGGAATGAAATGCCTTTGGCAAATCGGATGGGTCCTCAATATTCATCAGGAAAAACACTTGAGTGTTTACACCAAATTGTAGTGAAATGTGTATTCATTAACTAATGTCATTTTTCCCTTTAATGGACAGTATAACATTTGAAGTAACTTTACTACCTAATTCGACTGATATGTAGAGGCTAGTGCTTTATTTCCGTGCTATGATTTTTGAGTATTGACAATAATTGGTGTTACAAAGTGTCCACAAAGCTCCGAAAACAGGAGTATCACAAGATTTTTCAAAGGATTAGTTACCTCCTATAGCAAAAGCAAAGGTTGATACCTTATTTATTTTAAATAAATACCCTTTTAAAAAATTATATTTCATAGTTATCTTTTGATTTTTTATAGCCAAATCTATTTATGGTCACCTCATACCCTTAAGCCATAAAATAAACTTTGCATTATTATTCTCTCTCATATCCCCTCAAATTTCTCCTATCCCCTACCCCATATCTATTCTCCCTCTCTCTCTCTCTCTCTCTCTCTCTCTCTCTCTCTCTCTCTCTCTCTCTCTCTCTCTCTCTACTTCCCGATGTTTTCTCCTCCGCTGGACGCTGGAGCAATTGCCACCGTCACCGTTTCGACCGTGGCCGTTATTCGTTGATATCGCCGCCCTCAGCCTCCCAATCTCATTCACTGACGCAACATATCGGATGAACAAAAACCTCCGTTATTTCGCCGGTAATTACGTGCTAATCTTCGGCAACCAGAGGCAACGGTGACGGCGAGCGAGGACTGGATACTGATGCTACTTCAACGAGACGACATTAGGGTTGTTCTTGAACAAAGACGACGGAGTGGGGGCTGAGCAACTTGAATTTTTCGTTAATATATTTCAATGTATCTCGCTGTATTTCATTATATTCATTGTATTTTTTTCATTGTATTTCAATGTATCTCGCTGTATTCTATGTATTTCGTTGTATTCATTGTCTTTTTTTCATTGTATTTCAATGTATCCCGCTGTATTCTATGAATTTCATCGTATTCACTGTCTCGCTATATTTCCATGAATGTATTTCATATATTTTTTTTAATTAATATAATTTATGTATTCATATGTATTATATAATTTCTCTTGAAGATTGCTATGTTTTTGGGGGTGTTTTTCGGTTGAGAATCTTTTTTATAACTGGAAATACAAAATTTGTGTGTTATAATTGAGTTTGTTGAGTTATATTAGGAGTCTATTATGTTAATTGATTCACTTTCCGTTTTAAAACAGTGTAATCCCCTGTTTCACGCCGTGAATACAGTCGAATACAATAATCTGTCCAGCTGTAATCCCATGTTTCACGCCATGAATACCGTCGAATACACTCGAATACAAAAATCTGTCTAGCTGTAATCCCCTATTTCACGCCTAGAAATGCTACTGTATTCATGAATACAGTATCTTAAATACATCGAATACACTCTAAAAAATCTAAAAACATAGCTATAGGAAGTAATATAGTAAATGGTAGCTACAACTAGTTAATAACCACTAAAACATAGTAGATTCTGAAAGTTTCTCTTTTTCAAATAATTGTTCATTTGTGGTTGAAGATGGCTTCTTAGTTCCAGTAAATCGGCCTAGTTAAGCAATTTTACTTCTATGTATTCCTATGTCTGCGGCAAGTCAATTACGTCACTCAACTATCTCAAATTATCTCCTAAAGTCACTTTTCTTTTATTTGTAACAATAAAGTTACTGAACTATGCCTATTGCACTCAGAACGTCACTCAACTATATTTTTCAAATTTTGTATTGCCAAATACCTAATTTACCCTCTCAATTATATCTTCTTTATTATTTTTTTAAACTTTTTAATATTATTATTTTCCCTTTTTAATTTATATTATGGACTTACCTATAGAATAAATTAATATTATTTCTAAATTAAAAAAATAAAAAGTTTTTAAGCATCAATAATGCTGGAATAACAAAATAATGAGCACAATAAAAAATTAATTAGAATAATTTATTTGTAACAATAATTTTAGTATTAACAAAAAAAATTCAAAAATTTATTATCAGAATTCAGAATGAAAGAAAATAAAGGTCGTAAAATATATATTCCATGCACGTAATATAAAAATAATTATTTAAATAAAGGTATTTTTATAATATACATTATATATTCTTAAAAATTATGCTCAATTATATCATTATGTTTCTACAAACTTTCCGACGACACAAATATATGTCACCGGAAAGCAGAGACTATCTGTATAGGGTAAAATATGCTATATTAAGTTGCGCATGGAATATATATAATATAATTGAGCATAATTTTCAAGAATATATAATGCATATTATAAAAATATTTTTATTTAAATAATTATTTTTATATTACGTGCATGGAATATATATTTTACAACCTTTATTTTTTTTATTCTGAATTGTGTAAATAAATTTTTGAATTTTTATTGTTAATAGTAAAATTATTATTACTAACAAATTATTCTAATTAATTTTTTTTACTATGCTTATTATTTTGTTATTCCAGCATTATATATGTTTAAATATTTTTTATTTTTAATTTATAAATAATATTTATTTATTCTATAGGTAAGTCCATAATATAAATTAAAAAGGAAAAATCATAATATTAAAAAGTTTAAAAAATAAAAAGAAGATAAATGTTTATTAATTTAGAGGGTAAAATAGGTATTTGGCATTCCAAAATTTAGAAAATGTTGTTGAGTGACCTTCTAAGTGCAGTAGGCATAGTTCAGTGATTTTGTTGTTACAAACGAAAGTAAAGTGCTTTAGGAGATAGTTTAGGATAATTGACTGAGCATTTGAGTAGTGGCAGGCAAGTACTTTTGAGCTTCTCTATCTTTTAAGTTTTTGAGTATTCCAATTACAATTTTGTGACAATGTAGAGGAACAGAAGAAACCAGTTGTCAATCAACCTTACATGGGACACGGTTGGGAGATAAAATCAACCGTTTTGGCTTCCGATGAATCATTAAATCAAGTGTTTAGATCCAGATGGCCTTTATAGGAATTTTTGAATTAAATCATCCAATAGTCTTGTTTCTGTTGCATTCTTTCGTTTGTATTACTAGTAAATTGTATACGGTAAAATCATGTGTCCCCGATTTTGTAGGCTCGAGGGCTCGCATCGAGGAACAAACTCGATATGGGCCGGGTTCGAGCCCGAGGGCAGAATGTAAGGCTTGAAGATCAAAGTACGCGACGAGCACCGAAGCCGAGTATGACCAACCCCGAGATGATGCCGTTATAGGTTTGTAACAGAAAGAGCAAGATTCCCGCCACATCCCCAAAATCATGGCGTAAATTCCGGAATAGATTTGTACGAGTTAGTACGAATCCGTACTAGGCGGTTAGATAGCTGTCCCAATAAGATTCCTTACTGTTAATAAAAATGTACCTTATTTTAGGGTTCCCCTACTATATAAAAGGGACCCCAATCATTTGTAACTGATCATCAATCATTGGCAAAAGAATATACTCTCTTACTTTCTTGCTCATTACTCATCAGAATTGTCTCTTAACTTTATTGTCTTTACTTTACTGTTCTGGCTGACCTACCTCGAGGCCATCTAGCTCGAGGTCAAGACTTGCTTAAGCACTGGTTTGATTCAACTTTCTTCTCTAATTTATACGTTTGATTTCTTAGTTATTAGTTAGTATTGAACTAAATCACGTATCTTAAAAACCACAAACAAGTTTAGTTGTTACTCGTATTTTCAAGGTAAACAGTTTGGCGCCCACCATGGGGCTGAAGATAATAGTGATTATTTCAATACTGATTCTGGTAACACACGTTATCTTCACACTTGTTCTTGTCAAGAATTTTTGTTCTCAGGTTAAAACATGTCAAACTCACAAAACGCACCCGTACACAACGGTGATGGCCTTGGATTTCACGGGGAAAACAACAATGTAATTGCCCCGGGAGCCGGTGTACCACCGATTAATCCTAGGGAAGTGCCGAATGTGGAGGCAGTCGATGTTAGTTCACACATTGCTTTGAATGCGGATTTAAGCGCAGACCCCGGAGGAAGTGTACGCAGGGAAGTCCGATCTGGTGGCCAAGGAACACAGGGTGTAAGAGATGGGGGAGTTAGCCTCCAAGTAATATTCGAGATGCTACAAGCTCAACAGGTTGCTATCGCTCAGCTTCGAAGTCAGCATAAAACTCCAAGTGTGGTCGAACCAGAAATCACTCGCCGTACTGAGCCGGTGCCTGAAAGATCAAACGGTAATGGCTCGGGGACTGACCCCATGATTATGAGGATGCTCGAAGAAACTCACCAAAAGAATTGAGTCGGGGGAGAAAAAGATTGAGGATAATGACAAAAAGGTGGAGACGTATAACTCCCGTGTCGATCAAATACGGGGAGCAACCCCGGTCTTGAAAGGATTGGATATCAAGAAATTCGTACAAAAGCCATTCCCTCCGAGTGTGGCTCCAAAGCCTATTCCTAAAAAGTTCCATATGCCCGATATACCTAAGTACAACGGGACGAGCGATCCTAATGAACACATTACCTCGTACACTTGCGGGATTAAAGGAAACGACTTAAATGATTATGAGATCGAGTCAGTTTTGTTGAAAAAATTTGGGAAAACTTTTCCAAAAGGAGCAATGATTTGGTATCACAACTTGCCACCAAATTCTATCGATTCGTTTGCTATATTAGCAGACGCCTTCGTAAAGGCAGACGCCGGGGCCATAAAGGTTGCGACAAGGAAATCGGACGTCTTTAAGATAAGACAGAGGAATGATGAGATGCTAAGGGAGTTCGTATTAGGGGTGTGCATTCGATTTATCGATTCGATTTTGACCCTTTTGATAATTACTTATCGATTATCGATTTGTACATATGCTTATCGTTATCGTTTCAATAAGGTTTCGATTTTTTCGATTTATCGATTTTTGGGGCTTATCGATTACACCAATAAGAAAATTTACGGGATTCCAAGGAAAGTATCTTGCTATAAACACGCCTAACTAATATGGACAAAATGGAGTTGAAGAAGCATATATGATGACTACAAAAGAATACGCAAATAAAGAAAAATACCCATTTCTACATCAAAGAAAAAAGGGTACCTGAAGAGAGGTCAATGACAGAGAGAGAAGGTC